GGAAAACATTGTATATGTCTGAGTTTAGTATGCTGCCGCAACGATGATTGCGTTAAAGCAGACGTGAGACGCAATCCACCACGGTGTCCGGAAACATGAGGTCCACCTAACGATGTTCGCGATTGTGATAAAGTAACCAAGGTATATAAGGACCGGCCAATTTCTATGGCTAGGATTCCGTCGTACGCTATGAGCTCCTGAACAAACACTACCGCCTGCGTGTTCGATTTAGCTGAGAGACATTCCGGGGTACCGGTGTGGCGCCTTGTCTTTTCAGACTTAGACCTTGTGCGACTGACATGCTGTATATCACGCCAGATGATACTACCGTCTACAGGACCTGTGCTCGCATAGGACTTGATCATGGCGGCCGCTCAGCGTAGCTAAGTAGATTTGGAGGGCGTGCATTAGCCGCTGTAAGCGAGGGAGGGAAATGGTGTGGAAATGAGTGAATAATATGCAAGGGAATGAACCAGTTCGGGGGTATCTGTGTATGTGTGGACTACTGCCCCCCATTGGCCATTTCACAAACTAATCCTTGGGATCCGCTGCCCCTGCCGCCGGAAGCATCCGACCTTCCCTTGGGTCAGAAGAATACAGTACCTTCCGGACTCATTGCTTGCAATATCCTATCTACAGTCATGTCTATCAAAGCCCCTGAACGATTTCTCTCTGCTAGCTAGAGGTAACCAGTTGTCTATTTTGTCTTGCCTACATGCTTAGATAAAAGCGATCGTTTAAATGATGTAGAACATTTGCGCAGGGACCTTCTCTAACCGCTTGCATTTCTGGAGGAGCCAAGTAAAGGAATGGGTACAGAGGGGCGGGAGCAGGGAAGGTGTCTATTGCAGATGGTCAAATAAAAGAGGAGGTACAGGACGTGGTAAAGGTTAGCGCTGGACACCCCTTCGTTTCATGTTTGCACATCCCTGGATAGCCGAATATGGATCATATAGTGACTATGAAATGAATTTCACGCCCACTCTCTAACACTAATCCATTTATACCCCTCTTGTTCGAAATGTGCGAAGCCCTCCGGCGCCTCACCCATAACAATTAGGTTTATGAACTCGAAGAACTGAGTATTGATGGGACGGAATGTGATTCCTAAACGCACTGTAGACAAGCATCCCGATAGCCCCGACCTACATTGGAGGCCACTCCTATTTCACCAAAACGATGGGAATACACGCGCTAGACAGGTATGGTGGGACTACCCCTGTGCGCTCCGTGTAGGGTCCGAGGAACAACGATGTTTACCGTAGGCTAAGCCATCCACGTTAGCACAAGGCTAGTATTGCCCCTCAGAGTCAGCGCGTTCTCCATGCTGCAAAAGGCTATCATGCAAATGTTTGTAGATGGCTGATAGCTACAAGAGTATTTAGTTTATATCTTCCTGTCGCTCACCTGCGGTCTCTGCCCTCGCCCTTTGTTTACAAGTCCATCGCCTGATATTCAGCTTCGAACAGCTTCAAGTCGTCTTTCATTATTTCTCATATGTACATTACTACCAGCCTCCGCTCAAGGAAGCCATATCCCCGCCTTGGATATCAATTCTTGCCCATGCAAATACAAGAAAAGTACAGAACAAAAGATACAGCTACGCAAATACAATAGCTAGAGTTTCCTCGTTTACCGACTGTACCAGTACCACAATACTCATCTATACACAGATGTCACAATGTCCATGACACAACCCGGCTATGCTTACCCGACCTCTTTAAGCGCTTCTCTTAACCCTGACGAAGATTGGACCAAGATATCCGACCTTGCCAAGCGTCGAAGGATACAGAACCGCCTTGCTCAGCGTAATTATCGTAGGTTGGATCCTATCGACCCTGGACCCTCATTTTCACTAGACCATACTCTAGAGAAGAGCACCCAATCTCATTGAGTAAAACTAATGGCTGGCTACAGGAAAGAAGGTCAAACGCTGTCTTGACGACCTCGAGCGCCTTACTGGTTCCTCAGAGGATGTAGCGGCGGACAAGCAGCCCCAAAAGACTATTAAATGGAAACAACATTCCTTCGCATCCCACAGTAGAAAATCGCGATCTACGGTTGTCGGAATGCCAATTGTCTCTCAATCTCTGCTCACTTCTCCCGTGCAGCATACTGGCGAGCCTTTAGCCACCGACACCCGCGACGACAAAATCCGATCCAGCAGCCTTCCCCACTTAAGTTCCCTTGCCCAGTCGGCTCCCACTGAGATTCTACTTCCTTTATGTGACTCTGCTCAGCCCTCCTCAGCCATTGAAGACACGGATGACTCTGCCAACAACATGATACCCTCTACGGCGCCCACGACGCTGTCTCCCGCGACACACATTAGCGATACTATTAATTCATGGGGGTATGGTAGCGTCGATGGACTCAACCCTTACATAGCCTACTGTAACATGACTCCTATGGAGTTAAATTCTATCAGCTTATACGGACATCTCGATTGTCATGTAAGT